AAAAAACACCCCCCCCCCCCCCCCCCCCCCCCAAGAAAAAAAACAGGCCAACCACAGAACCCACCAACCCAAAAAACTCTTATTTAAAAATACCAAAGAAAGAATAAACAATGACCCCCAAGTACTGGTGATGCTATCAGGCAGGAAACAGGGGCACTCCTTTGAGATGCTATGCCCTACTTTGAATTTTTGTCTAAAAAACACTGGCAAATTACATTATGGTAAATTACTTTAGGCAATTACTTGTAATGCTGATTTCTCCTCTTTATTAAAACGAAGAAAGCCTGAGCACATAAGTTCTTAAACTGACTAAAATTAGGGCTTGTCTGAAATGATTAGCAGTTCTGGGAGTGACTACCCAAAATAACAAGATCAGAGTATCCTTTGTGCTGGATATAAACAAAAACATTGCATTTTCCTATCCTAGGGAGCTTACAGTTTAAATTTAAAGGCATCCACTTAAACTGTAATTAGTGGGCTAGCAAAAATAATACACGGGTAACAGTGAGCTAATATATGCAATCATCTGGTCTTTGGCAACAATTAGCTTCTTCAGTCAAAAAATAGGAAGGGAAGATAAAACACAAATAACGCCTTCCCGTACACCAAAAAACCAAGCTGACAAGTTATAATAGGCAGTCAAAATTAATATTACAGCCGCATCTCTCCTCTAGAATGAATATCATTCGCTAGGAGACTTGAGCAGAGGAAGGAGCCGTATGGCCATGGCAGAGCAACAGGAACTGGAGTCTGTAATTGCAGGGTTGCTGGGCTGAATCTGGCCCAGAAGGTTAATTCTGCTGAAAAGCTGTGCAAATGAAGGTGCAGGTTTTCAGCTGACAGGCTGGAAGCTTTCTATGAAGCCTTTATTTCCACCGCACCATGAAAAGGTCTTCTACTTACATCTCATTTACAGCAAATGGAAGATGTCTGTCACACCCAAACTGCATTTTCCTCTAAACTTCCCTCCTCCTCCGAATCAAGTTCTGTCATTTCTACTATTCCCAATACTGTTAATACGCAAATCATCTGATTATCAACAGTGGTACCCTTAATCTAAAAAAAATATTTAATTTTATTTTTTCCCCCTTCTGTTTTCAATTTACAAAGCTTCTTCACTGTGATGAAAAGGAAAAAGATGAAGGACAGGACTACTTGTGTTGCAGTATCTGTGTCCCTGGTAGAAATAAAATACCCAGGATCGAAGAATTTCTATTCCAATTGCTAGACTGCAAATACCCATTATGTTTAGCATAGCTGTCATGGCAAATTCACACCGCTGAATTGGCCCGAACAGCTTTTGCTGCTGGGTCTAATACCACTTCAAAACAGTGTAATTGGAGTCACTGCTCAAATACGTAAAGTTTAAATCCAACTTTCCAGGTTTTCTTCCTTTAATATCTCACCTGAATTACATGCTACTGAAGAGTTCATGTTTATTTAAAAAAAAAAATCATAAAAATATATTAGGACCAAAAAAATGTGTCCTTTATCTTTCCCACTTGGGCAAATGAACATGCTTGTGTTTGACAGAATAAGCAAAATATGAAAAATTTCAGACAACGTAATTTTAAATGGGAATTTTACCATGTACTTTACTATTAGGAATAAACTCTAAAGCTGAATTTAAGGTTTGATTTTCCCAGTTTCACCAGGTGTAATTGATCTCCAAATCAAAAATTTACTATCTCAGTCACTAACCTACTACCTGCTAGACCCACTGCTAAATTGCAACACAGTTGGCATAAGTTTACAGCTAAAGCAACTAAATGAGAGGGATGTTACTGTAGGGATGTGAAAAATCATTAAGCCTGCGAAAAAAATTTGAAAGCCATTCTTAAAAAGAATAGGTCTTGTGACTGACGTAGTCTGATTGACTCACGCAAATCAGCACTGTTTAGAAATGATAAAAATTATTAAACCTGACCAAGCAGTAGGATTTCTGTATCAAACTGCAGCTCATTTCACTCAGTAATTACTGTTTTTCTAATTAAAGACTGCTTAAGATGTATGTTAAGATACATCAGTTGTTCTTGGATGTTGCTAGGTGAGAAACCTTTCACATTCAGTTAAGATTTAATTCTAGCTCTTAATCGTAGGATGTTTTAGGGAAATACATGAGTAACACATCAGTTGAGTACAAAGCCACAGTTAGAGGTGACCTGGGCTTGCTGTTACAACCTACAAGAAGAGAGGAGACTGTTTTAATATCTTCATACCTTGACAGTGTCCTATGCACTTCTTTCTTCTCAATGCATACAAGTAGAAACTAAGAAAATATTCTGTTAATATTTATATATTCCATATTTGTTCCAAAAGGTCTAAAGAAATGAAGGCATTAAGGAGTGAAAATAAGATATGATAGGAAGGAATGAAAATAGGTATGAAAACCATGAAGGCCAAACAAAAAAGTATTTATATAATAGAAAAAGTTATAAAAGAAGCAGGGTTGTCATCAAGGTGAAAAAAAAAAAAATCAACCCTAGAACAATCACCACCAACAACAGATGAGGACAGAGTGCATTACTTAAGTTAAAGAGCAACAGGAGGGGGAAAAAAAATGTTGGCAATTTGGAGTCAGCCTTCTGTTTAGCATCAGTTCTTCCACTACCGATGCACGCTGCAAGTAAATCAAGGTCGTCTTCCACTTAGATTAAGGAGCATCTATGAATCATTGTATGTTCATGAATCTTTTCAGTATGATCCTAAATGCAATCAGACATGCAGTAAACTTGCCACATTTGTTATGTACAGAACAGCCAAAAAAACCTCCAAAGAAACGTAATCTAATTATGCTGGAGAAAAGTCCTAATACCTACAAGCTTTATAGTTGTTTAAACCATGCTTAAACCAATTTAGCACCATGTAAAAAAATTCCCTTGTTAAGCTAAATTTCCCCACATCCGATTTAAACCAGCTGAAGATTTATCTCTATTAGCTCTTTCCTTCAGGGTAATAATATTAACACATGCATGGCAGAACAACCAACAAAGCCCTACATCCCATGGGAAATAGGGAAAAAAATATGAAGATGTGAGCCACAGACAAAACTACCTGAACCATCTTGTGCTAATCTCCACCAAAAACACCCTCCTCAGTGACCGCCTTTTGCAAATGATCATTGCTCCAGCTAGATAATTCTGTCCCACCCAAAATGGTTAACAAAATCATTTAAGTCAGCCTTTGCATTAGATCCGAGGATTAATTTGATCCCAGTTTGTTTATGCTCCATAGACAAAGCATTTTTCATTTACCTTTACTTATAAAATGCAGAACTTCATATTTGGCATAAAATATGTCAGTCATCCCCGACTTGGAACATTATTATAGTTATCTTATAACTCCGCGTGCATCCAGAGGATTTGTGTAAACCCCTAGGAGACACTCATCAAGCATCATTCCACCTTTAGCAAATACTTTGGAATCCTGCATGTCAAATCTGTAGGGGCTGGAATACTATATATTAAAGTGGAAAAAAAAAAAAGTCTCTCTCATACTTTTAAATGATTCCTTTATAAGTTTTCCTAGACATTAGCTTATCAGTTAACGAAAAATAATTAAGACTGGAGTAGAGACTGACCTTTACATTCACTTAAATACATTTGGAGGAATTAAAAATGACACATATGAGATTAAGAGCTTGATTCAGGTAGAACTATTAACTATGTCAAGCACTGCACAGGCATGCAATGAGAGACAGCAAAGGACAGCATGAGCTATTCTGTAGCACACTGCTACTCAGCTTAGGAAGACCTAAGCTCCGTTCCCAGTTTTATCACATAAGCAAGTTTCCACATTTGTCTGTGCTTCCCTTTCCCCTTCACATTTTACTTTTGTCTAGTTAAGGTTGTAATCAACTTCTATGGGATCGGACAGTCTTCCCCTGTAACTGTGCATGCCTCACCTCGCACCCACAGCAGAAGGGTATCATGGTTCCTGGAAACTACTGTAGTATAAATGAGTAATGAGAATGACTGTATCCTCAAGTGTTCATCATCTAAATAAAAAAGGCCACAGAAAATTCAATCTGATATTAGATCACAGAAGCACAGGCTAAATTATTTTATTGGGTTTGCGTGTCGGCATGTTACAACACAGCTCCTTCTGCTTCAGCAGTCATCACTGGGCACAGAGGTGCCTACACTTCACAACTACAACCCAAGTGGCCGAAGAGGTCACCACCCCATGTAGGGAGCTGACAAACAGAACATGCAAGTCCTCTTCAACTGCCCGAAGGGCTAAGCCAGCAGGTCTTAACCTGGGCAGTTCAAATTAATTTGGCTCTCATGTCGTAAAGGCTTAGGGAAGTGGTTCCATAACGCCCGTAGAGTTTCTTCTAAACTAGTGGATAGCGAGCATCAGCTTACAATGGGCTTTGATGAGATTAATGAGCTGACACAACAGCTTGCTGCTGCCCAGAGGGGTGCTTCCATGCCCCTCTCCCAAACTCAACTGTGCTTTCACTTTCTCCTTAGTGCCTGTATGGAGCTTGTCTGCTGTCTTGGGTAGTTGATCCAGCTCACCAAACCAGCAGAAACTACACAAGTGGGGAGAAAGAGAAGGAGGAAAGAAGGGATATGGAAAGGGAATGACCATTTTGATGGCAACAAGCTCACACTTCTGTCCTGGCAAACCAATCCCTGAGCAAAGCGGCAACAGGAGGAGACATCTACTCCAGAAATACAAAACCACTTCCTATCAGTTGTTAGACAGGCTCCACAAATATTACATTGAAACCTCCCATTAGGAACTTTTCTATTTAAAACTTACTTTATCTCTCCCAATAGGAAGCGGCATAGCTGTATAAAGGTTTTTTCTTCCATCAAACACTGGTTTGCGATCCCCAAAGATCTGCGTTTTAAAGTGCTGAACCATATGCTCCACTATTTCTCTGAAAACACAAAAAGATTACGTTAATTCGACTTTTTACTTTTGATGTTAAGCAGAAAATGAACACGAACACTAATATTTATGGCTAGAAGCATTAGGCGAATGAAAGGGTTGTCCACTGTTGGGTATTAAAGGCAAGATTTGTTTGACTGATCCAAATTAAAGCTACCTTTTCACAGACTAAATTGTTTTCTTAAAGCAACTATTTTTAGCTTTTTCAGATCGAAACTTTCCTTCCTCTTTTCTGTGATCTACTGAAAACGGTAAAGCGAAAACTCATGCTCCCTCAAGCTCAAAACGAGAGGTGCTTGGTATTCTCCTGGGGCTTCTGCTCCCTTGTCCTACAGCCCTTTCTGCAGAGGACCACGGACCAAAAGCTCAGCAGCCTGAGCAGCTTTCAAAAAAAATCATTATCCAAGCTTACAGCCTTAGCGTAATGACAACAGCTCTATGATGACAGTGCTACACAAACTTTTTACATCACACCGAGAAAGATTACTATTAAATGTAATTTTTTCACATACGCAACAAAACTGGGATCCATCCAACAAAACTGGATATGCGCATTACCTAGGACCCGTGCATATTAAAAATACATATTCACTGAAGCATAGCTGGAATTAGATTGCACGTTTGCATGAATGAGGTAACCACTCACAAAGTTCTTGTCAAACCACAGTGTTTACACACTGGTCATGCAAAGCAGTTCACCAGGCGATGAGAGCGTCTGTTGGAATAACAACACTCTTTGATACCAAAGGTCTTTGGTCCAAACTTCCCAAAGAGACATCCTCCAGGCTATCTGTACCACAAGGCTGTAAAATCTGAAATCCATCAGTGGTCTGCAATACACTGCACACAAGATCCTTAACACACCGCTTGGGGCAAAAGGGCAATATGAAGTTAAATTGACACAGAAAGGAAACCACAGCACGCTTTTTCTTCAGTACTGTTGTCAACTAGAAGCTCAGAGAGGCTGCAGATGACTATTTCATACACTTTGACTTGGAAAGGCAATTAACCCAGCATCCAGTTAGGTAATACAGCGATGCAGAATTCTGAGATGAAACTCTATAAACCGTTCAAGAGAAGAATGAAGGCTGGTTTAATCAACAATTTCTTTGCTGGGTGCCAAGGCTTTAAGACAAGATGTGACCATTGGAAGAAACTTGCCTGACCTCCTGAGAAGTACGACTAAAACTTAACCCAGTAATTTCTGCCTCAGGTCTGCCATGTCTGACTGAACAAGTACATAATTTGGAGGGTGGGAGGAAGGAGGTATTTTTCAACCTTGAGTGACAGACTGAGCAATGGAAAACCCATTCTCTTACTGAGCAAGTTCTTCCGATAGTGAACTACTTTATATAAAAATTAACACCTCCACTTAATTAAGGTTTTCAAGCTTCAAACTACATTTAGCGATGGTGCTTCTCAGCTGTGGGTGGAGACATCTTAATGAAAAGTAAGTTATTTTCTCCATGTGAAGTCAAGAGTTATTTACCAATTCACTACCATCAGCCCTTTGGGACTACTACTCTACCGAGATCATGCAAGCACACCAAGAACTCAGGGCCAGCCACTGCAAGCAGAGTTCATCTTAAACCTTGTAGGAGTCCTCGCTGTCTTTGTGAACTAAACCAAGGGCATCCACAGTGGAGAACCAAACTCTCATTGCCCGCTCTCCTTATCTAACTACCCAAATGGATCTGGGCTTTCTGTGATGTAAAGAATTGTAGCCTGACTGTATTAGTTTGGCCCAGCAGCACATTGTCTCAGCTGTGGGTTTTCCAGTCCTGCTCCAGCTCACATCTCTTCAGCGTGGAACTTCCATGTACACTGTACACATCCCTGCAGTGGGTCTGCAGGGTCATAGCCCAAGCCATAGTAAATCCTAGAATAAAACTGAAGAATGAAGCTGGGGCAGAGTAGCATAAATGGAAACAAAATCTCCTTCTACCCTTTCTAGAGGTTACAACATGTAGAGTAAGGATAAAAACTATTTAATATAAATATACATCTGAATTATATATATAAAATACTAGAAACATGTAAGCCATCCGAAAAATCTGTAATTTAGAAACGGACTACATGTGCATGCTGCATAATCCTATATACATATATATAAACACACACAAAAACATAGGTATACATGTAGGACTGAAAGGTCACGGCCCACAGAAACCCAAGCGCAGGTGAGTGCACATACATCTACAAGGGTAACGCATGCAGGAATAAGCACGCAGAAGAAATAGAACATACACTTCATTAAGGGAATCCAATTCCCACACTTCCCTGAGAAACATGCACCATACCACTGTCAAATGCATTCATGACATCCTTGTTTACTGCAAAAGGCATTTAATCTATGTAGATTTATACTCGCTCCTGTTACCACAACAGAGGGAGTGACTAACCTGACAAAGCGGAGCAAGTTGGAAGGTGTCAATGGAGAATAACTTGCTACTGAATATAATCTGCCTTTTCAGTGAGAAAAATTGCTTTATTATTAAATAATTATGGTCTCTGCCATTGAGGAGCAAGCACCCACATGCTGGACCGTGACGGAGGTGATCACACACAGGAGCTGTGCAGCACTCAGCTCCCAGAGCAGCTACCCAGGCACAGCAACCTGCATCAGTCAGCAGCGTGCCAGTTGCCAGGGTTGGAGCTGGTGGCAGGGATATCTGTTAACGAAAGCAAAGCTCTCTCAGGTCCCACTATGAAAAAAGTGACTGCTGAAATTTTTTTTTTCTGTGCTCCAATGTGAGATTGTACCAGTAAAATCAGCAGGGTCACCCTTGGGCAAGAAGAGAGTTCTTTTAAAATTAAATTCAGTTCTTGACAGCTTAAAAATTAAATTTGTAATAGATCACCATAGGAAAAAAAAACAGGACAGCAAAGCGTAGTGACGCTGCTTTATGAAAATATTATCATTACCGACTCTTTAGTGCAACAATGGATAATACACTCCATTCACATTCACATTTATTCATTCACATTAAGAAAACTTTGGCTTTCGGGTGGTTTTTTTGACTCCACACTTTGCTCATGTTCATGACTGCATATTGCACCCATGTGACCTTTTTTAATAAGGAAAGGTTTTGCTCTTGAATATATAAACATGCCATTCCAATCCTCTACAGTCAAGATGTAGGTAGTTACAATGATGACACTTGTGGTTTCCAGTTAGTGCCAAGTCTTGTTCTCAAGTTTCACTTCTGGCAACACCACTCTTCCAAGTCAACGAGGTTGCCACACCATGACTAACAGGGCACACAGGCAAAATGCAAGACCTAATTGCTTGTTTCCTTGGCCAACTGATCCAGGTTTTCACCTTGCTATCTCGCTCAGGAGCATACCTTTCCTTTATAAAGAATCTACTGATGACAGATAATTTCTTACCTAATTTAGTCCCTCCACGATCCTCTCGCAGCAGCACAAACAAATGGGTTTTGCCTTGCCTTGTCAGTAGGGGAAGGTGAGAAAACAAGCTGGGAACACCAACTCCCTGCTGAAGGACTTGTCAGCCAATTGCACTCCGGTATTTAACCAAGCAATACTAAGAATCATATTTATCAAGTTGGCTTATACTGACCTAGCTCCACTAGAGTTAATACAGTTTATACACCTCTCACCAGTGGCTTTGATCAGCAGCATCTTAAGATGCTGACAAATTCAATAAAAACAAGGGACGATTAGCTCTGAAATCTTGGATTGGTACAGAAAGACTTGGAGAAAAAAAGTGCTTGTTGATGGATATGCAAAGTTGGAAGCTATCAGTACAAACAATGACTAAAGACAAACACATCCTCCAAGATGCCAAGACAGGCACACAGCTCCAGCATTTTCAAAGGAAAACAAGAAGGTAAATAAACTGGCAAAAAGGAATGCACGGTATTACCTGTTAACTCTTCTAGGGCATTTTTCTGGCTTTATATCCAATTCATAATGGTAGATATCTATTTTAGGAATGTCCATTTCAAAGAAGTTGGCCTGCAGTTTGATTGTTCTCCCAGAAGTGCCAAAATCTGGTCGAGGCGGCGGTTTAAAGGCATATCCCTGTATTGGTGGTGGCAATGGTGGAGGAGGTGCAAGCACTGAAAAAAAGAAAAAGCACAAAGTAGCTATCAGCTATATCAAATTGATAGTTAAGCAAATTTACAGGCTATTTGACCAATGAAGCACAGCACATTTAAACCAGTAACTCTTTTTAAACAACCTGAAAACTGAAAAAAACCCCAAAACCCTGCTATCAGGAGTCCATGAATTCTGTCTGTCTTCTTCCCATGCTGGTTCACCATTTACTGTTATTTCCCAGCCCTGATTACTGAACAAAATCTTAAAATAAGTTGCGTTTTCCTACACTACAAGTCAGCTGGGTGGGAATTTGAGAGGCCAAGCAAGCACTGCTGGGAAAGCGAGAACCAGATCTTCGTTGCAGGGAAGAACCTCAGTTTCAAAATACACCCTGAAGCAAATCACCTAACCACATTTACTTGAGCAAACACCTATAAAACGGAGTTTCTACCACTTAAACCACCTTCGTGATCACATTTGGATGAGTTGCATGCATCTACAGTGACTCCAATACGTGCATTTCATCTACATAATTTTGCTCTAATGACCATACCACACAGCTGGCTGAAGAGGCGAATATGGCACAGGAGCTGCTCCTACATGTTGCAGCTCCCTGGAAACCACTATATATTAGAATTAAACTATATCCTACTGCTTCCTTTAAAGAGAAAGCAAACAGAGCAAATAGTCTACTGCTGCTGTACTGTATTCTTGAGCTCAAACGCCAACCATAGGCCAGACAATGTAGAGTAGAAGCATAACAGCTGCTTGCAGTTGTTTCAGTCTAAGGACTTCCATTAAAAATCCAGAGAAGCACATAAGGTACCAACTTGAGTATTCAAAACTTCTGCAGCATCAGTACTCAGAGCAGTAAGAACTTGCAGCAAAATTTTCACATGTGAAATAATCCAGGAGATTTCTCATTACTTATGTAAGAATCCAGGTGTGGTTTCCCAGGATTATCAAATTCAGTCCTCTGCTAGCAACAGAAAAAATACACATCCCTTCATTAACAGATCAAGTCACCACTTTTCCACCCTCGCTTTCCCCACTGGAAAGCTGTTCCAGAACTGTGATGCTCGAATGCTCAGAAAGATCCTTCCATTTTTATTTATTCATTGTCAGGTTGTACTCACTGACCATCAGATTAAGTACTCCTTATTGTATCTTTAGATTTAAACCAAATTTCCATTTAATTCTTAATTCTAGGCTATACTACTTCTGTTAGTCTCTTCTCATAAACCAGGCTTCATTCTCACCCTTCCAGTTGTTTTTCAGGCTAATGCATTTCAGCTCACCCTTCCTGAACAAGACCAAGTGTTACTCTACATGAGGTCCCATCAGGGTCCAGCACAGTTGCACTGATGCTTTCATCTCTCAGTTGGAAACATTGGGTTAACGAGCCCTAAACCACGTTCTCCTGTTTTATCACTGCCTTATAACAGCAGCTCTTGGCTCTGCAGTGACCAGCCGGTACGCGCATGCTTGTCTCAGTTGTTTGGGACTGATCATCTGCCAGTTCACTAGAAACTCCCAGCTACATGATCTTTAATATAAATATATTTTTTAACCCATATCTATTACCCTACTGCTTTCTCTATGATGCTCAGGTCCTCCTTTTCTGACAACGCCTCCTATGCCCAATGATGAAATCTCATGTACCTACTCCTAACACTTATGCATAAGATCATTAATGAAATAATAAGACCATTCCCAACCTTAGCAGCATCATTTCCCCACTTTACCCTTCAACATTCCCCATGACCAGCTTCCCACTCATCAGCATTTCTTTACTTATTTTTACCGTTCTACTAACCCAACTTTCAGCACCGATTTCCCCACGTACCAGACATTTCATGAGAATCCAGACAGTTGAATCTGACATGGGGAATATGATAGGGGGATTTGTTAATTATTTTATTTATTTATTTTTTAAAATCTTGGGGTTTCTCATTTGTTTTACGTTTGGGAAGCTTGTTTTAGATCTTGTCTTCCAAACATTCAGAGGCATACCCCCTTTTTGATGTCATGTTACAGAAGTTCAATTTGCTTTTTTTCCTCCTTTCTGTAAACGTTGCCATTGAAGTCTGCAATTCCCCAAACACTAACTTGGTCTATATGTTAAAGATACTTCTTGCTAAAGACTTGCATTTCCATGACCTAAAACTACAGGTTTCTGTGATAAGATTATTCCGTCTCCCTAAGTTATCCAACTCCTTCAGTTTTGCTTTCAATGGAAATATAGCAATTCTCATTTGAATACTATTCTTACTATTTATCGATCTTGCCTTTGCAGCATCAACACCCGTACTGAGAAATGAAGCAAAGTATCTTCTTAGTTTTCACACAATAGCTCTAGACTCTTATCTACAACCCAGTCCTCACCACAAGCAGCCCATCTGCCTCTGCATCTGACCTTTCCTATTTACATCCCCGAAGGCAAGTTGAAATACTTCGCTGACTCTAACTCTGTTCAACCTTTAGCGTATTTTTTTTTTTTAAATTCCTGCACATCTTGACTTCTAAGACATGGATTTGTCATCCTTCCCCAACACTTGCCTCTGAAGGTGATTAACTCACTCAGGTGGTCCCCGCAGCCACCACATCCCCTTGCTTAGTATGACAAATTCATAAAGTTTCTGTGTCATTAATTGGAAAGAACCCTCTTGTAGATACGACAACTAAAGTTATTCATAGCATTACCACTACAGCTGGAAAGTAACATAAAAAAAAAAATCCTCCCACAAGTATTTATACTGGCAATATGACAAAGGCTTCTATTACCCCCCTCAAAATCAGATCAGGAGAATGTGTACCGAGAATTTACCTCTACTCTACCAGAATCTTATTTACCATCATTTTCCCAAAAAAATCTGGCTCCCACCTATGATTTCAGCCATTCTGTTGCTTAATGCTTTACAGCTCATCCCTGCACGTATTTTTATTTCCACCTTTCCATAATAGAAGGTTCTCATTTGAAAACCCTGTCCTAGTCATTAACGTTATTCTGTGAGTTTTTGTGTGTCATTCCATGATCATGGATCGTTCAAAAATGCTGCCCAGGCTCCTGGCATTTGTATTTTAACATTTCCATTTCTTGTTATTCACACTCTGCAGTCTAGCTGCCTTACCGCTATCACCTGGACAACTATTACCTCAGCAATATTAGGCATTTCCCTTCTCTTTGCTGTCTGTTTTTATGCAGTCTAACATCTCTCTATCTACTGCCACATCCTAATTCCCCTACCCTTCCTTTTTCTGTGCCAGATTTGGTACATCACGACAAGTTTTCAGAAATGCAAAAGAAAGAATCAGCTTGCAAGATTTGGAAGTAGAAAGAGTCGCGTGACGGAGGTGGGACACCTCCCCATGCCCCCAAGCTATTTATGCTGCAAAATTCAGTAATTTTGTAATTAATACACCCTCCTCCCGCTGTATTAAAATGGGACCATTTACTACTTCTCACAGGGGCACAACAAAGCCGTATCTATTAAGTGTTCAAGGATCAACACAATCACCCATTGCTCAACAACATACTGTGAAACTAAATACTGTGTTCAGTTTTGGGCCCCTCACCACAAGGAGGACCTTGCTTTGCTGAAACATGGCCAGAAAAGGGCAACAAAGCTGGGGAGGGGTCTGGAGCACAAGGCTTACAAGGAGGGGCTGAGGGAGCTGGGGGTGTTCAGCCCGGAGAAGAGGAGGCTGAGGGGAGACCTCATCACCCTCTACAACTGCCTGACAGGAGGC